AGTTTTAATAACTCATCTCTAATAACTGATTTATTTTATCTTTGCCATCATGACAGTAAATAATATTTCACTAGATATTTTTCAAGACACTTCTATACAGATTAAAGTGACATTTAGAGGCTTAACTAGGTTAATTAGGTTAACTTGTCAGGTTAGGGTAATTAGGCAAGTTATTGTATAATGATGGTTTGTTCTGTGGACTATGGAAAAATATATAGCTTAAAGGGGCTAATAATTTTGACCTTAAAATGGATTTTAAAAATTTAAAACTGCTTTTATTCTAGCTGAAATAAAACAAATAAGACTTTCTCCAGAAGTAAACATATTATCAGACATTCTGTGAAAATTCCCTTACTCTGTACAACATCAAGAAAAGGGGGGGGGCTAATAATTCTGACTTCAACTGTAACTCCTGATATGTTGCACAAGTTTAACGATAATACAGATTTATACTTTATACAGATACTTGTATAAAGTGTAATTCAATTAGTTATGATATGCAAACTAAAAAAAGTGATAAATGTTTTTCTACTAAAAAAAAAGAAGAACAAGTCGGTGAGTTTATGCTGTGGATTGTTCCATGACACTTTTAAAGTTTTAAAGTAAACTCTTCCCTAGATGGAAAAAGCAGGCTGCTGATTTCAGTACAAGCAAAAAAACAACAGCTTCTTGTGAATCGACACGTCATTCACAGCTGATAAATAATAGAACAACCTCTGTTTTACAACAAACCCAGCCACGCCCATCACACACACACACACACTTTGACTTTGTACACTTGCACTTTGATGTGACACAGATTTTCCTGAAACAGCTTTTGTTGTTCACCCACTAGCATAGCATCCCTCGCACACGCTAAAGCTAAGAGAGCGCAGATGGTAATTATGTGTCATGGGTTGCATTAGCAGAGGCTGCTGAAGTGGAATAGAAGGCTATTACCATCTCAGCCCCAAGTTATAAATACATAGAGGTTTCATTTAGCCTGCTATGATTCAATCCCACCCTTATTCAGTCTCCATGTTTAGAATGAGCAGATCTGTGGAGACTGTATGGGATTTTCCTGTTTCCGTCGAACACTTTTGCATTTTTAATGTACTTCTACAGTATGGAGCACCTCTTTCATAATGGGTCAAGACATCGGGACGCGGCGTGTGGCAGTGTGTAAAAGCACTCGGCGGAAAGTGGGTCACATTGACTGCTGTCACTGCGTACCTTGCAGATCTGTGAATGCATGCCAGCAAAAAAAAAAAACAGCCTGCTTTAGTTCATTCTGCTTCATGCTGCGGCCCTGCTGGACATGTGATAGATGGAAATATATGGAAATTACATATGTGACATACAGGGTCAAATTTGGATTTCACGTATATAACATAGGGCGACACAGTGGCTCGATGGTTAGCGCTGTCACCTCACAGCAAGAAGTACGCCACTTCAAGTTCTGGCTGGGCCAGTTGGCGTTTCTGTGTGGAGTTTCATGTTCTCTCCTTGTTCACATGGGTTTCCCCTGGGTGCTCTGGTTTCCCACCACAGTCCAAAGACATGCGCTATAGGTGAATTGAATAAACTAAATTGGCTGTAGTGTATGTGTTTAAATGAGAGTGTTTCCCAGTACCTCGTTGCACCTGGAAGGGCATCCGCTGTGTAAAACGTATGCCTGATAAGTTGGTGGTTCATCCCGCTGTGGCAACCCCTGATGAATAAAGAGACTGGGCCGAAGGAAAAATGAAATATATGTCTTATATTTGGCCAAATATGAATTTATATGAATACACACACATATGTACTTGCCTATAAATGTCCTCACAAGTATAGCAATACTAGTACATCTTGACTTTATGGGGAATGTTTTTTGGTCGGCTTAATAAACAAGAAAGTCACTGGTTCCAGTCCCGGCTGGACCAGTTGGCGTTTTTGTGTGGAGTTAGGGTGCTCTAGTTTCCCCCCACTGTCCAAAGACATGCGGTACAGGTGAATTGGCTAAGCTAAATTGTCCATACTGTATGTATGTGTATAAGAGAGTGTATGTTTTTTTTCCAGAGATGGGTTGCAGCTGGAAGGGCATCTGCTGCATAAAACATATGCTGGATAAGTTGGCGATTCATTCCACTGTGGCAACCCAAAATTAATAAAGAGAATAAACCAAAAAGAAATGACTGAATGTATGTGTGTGAATGAGAGTGTATGGGTGTTTTCCAGTGATCAGTTGCAGCTGGAAGAGCATCCGCTTCATAAAACATATGCTGGATAAGTTGGCGGTTCATTGTAGCGACACCAGATTAACAAAGGGATTAAGCTGAAAAGAAATGATTGAATGATCATAAAGGTCCTGACAACATATGTTTTTATGTTACCTTAACTTAATTTAGAAAGTTAGTCTGGCTTCAACTAGTTTTTTTTTAGTTAAACAAAATGTAACTTGGTGATGTAAGTCAGCTTAATTGATGTAAGTTAAAAAGACTTGTAAAGTTAAATTTGGTTCAACCTAAAATTTTAAGTGAGCAACACTTTTTACAGTGTAGTTATTTAACTATTCAACTATGCGTGTCGTTTGCGCCCCTAATAGTATTTCTAAGGGCCCCAAAAATGGCCAACACCCCCCCTCCCTCCCAAGCAGCGCCCCTGATTCAAGGTATAAGGAAATTATTTGATCATGGTACTATTTACATAATGGTTACACATCATAACATTTATTCATTCATATTACTTCGGCTTAGCCCCTTTATTTATCAAGGGTCAACACATCGGAATGAACCGCCAACTTGTTCAGCATATGTTTATGCAGTGGATGCCCTTTCAGCTGCAACACAGTACTGGGAAACAACCATACACTCTCACATTCACACTCATACACTATGGCCAATTTAGTTTATTCAGTTCACCTAGACCAGGGGTGTCAAACTCAATTCCTGGAGGGCTGAAGCCCTGCACAGTTTAGTTCCAACCCTGCTCCAACACAGTTACCTGTAGGTTTCAAACAAGCCTGAAGGACTCAATTAGTTTGATCAGGTGTGTTTAATTAGGGTTGGAACTAAACTGTGCAGAGCTGCGGCCCTTTTGGAACTGAGTTTGACACCTGTGACCTAGACTAAGGGCGTACTCAGACTATGCCATCCGAACCGTGCCCAGGCCCATTTCCCGAATCGTTTGAGAAGTGTGAGTCCTCTGAATAAGAATTCTATTTCCTTTTCCGGTTACTTTGAGAGTTTGAAACGTCGCAGAAAGTGATGTCACATGACCTGTTCTGGTTTTGAAGCGCCGCAGCAATTGATGTAGCTTCTTCACTTTCGGGCTCAGGCAAAGAACCGTAAAGTGAACCGTCCTCAGGCCCACCTCTTCCAACTGGGCCAAGGCCGCCCAATTGAACCATGCCTAAGCCCGATTCAGAGCACTCACACTTCTCAAACGATCCGGGAAACGAGCCTTGGCACAGTTCGGATAGCATAGTGTGACTAGGCCTTAACCCAAAAAGAAAATGAATGAATGAATTCACCCATAGCACATGTCTTTGGACTTGTGGGGGAAATCGGAGCACCCAGAGGAAACCCACGAGAACAAGGAGAGAACATGCAAACTCCATACAGAAACTGACTCAGCTGGGGCTCGAACCTACATCATGACATTCTTAGATGAAATAATTCACTTGCTCCTTGAAAATGTTCCTTCTTTCCTCCAACAGTGACACACTTATTTGTCAGTGACCCATTAACAAACCCAACAATGTCACTGGACATGAAAGTGCACAGATATCTTTACACTAGCGTGGTGGTCTCTGTCCCTTCCCCCTCGCTCAAGTAAACAGATTTATACTACGCAGGCATTAGTCCAGAGCAGGAAACAGGACACGAGGATGAGTTTGTGAAGCTCGAGTGTGTGTATTTTCGAGTAGTAATATGTACTAGAGAGATTGACAGATTAGGTTGGCCTACAAAACCATTTCCTCTGCTTCAGAATGACATTTACGAAGCGTATTGATGATCATATTAATAAATGAATAAAGTGCACTTGCGCTCATGTGTTATGTGAAGTATGGTGTTAATATCTGCCAGGTGTGTGTGTGTGTGTGTGTGTGTGTGTGTGTGTGTGAGGGCCAGAGTCACTGTGAGAGTCCTTGTTTGCTGTGTTCATAGTGGGAATCACCATGGCAACTGCACTAGCAGCGCAGTGTGAAGTGGAGAGCGGGCGCTGGAGTGTGTGTGTGAGAGTGTGTGGATGAGAGGAGTCATCAACACTGAGACACAAAGAAAAGCAGAGAAGTAAAATATTCAGCACAAGATGGATGGCCAGAAAATCTGATGACAGTAATAGGTTTAATGTCACAGTGGCAATTACTTCTTCAACTAACTGTGTGATCTGTAATTAGCTGGAAAGCGGTCGACTCGTGAGGTGGATTTTGTGCTCTTTGGAGTGTGAAGTTAATCTATATATTCAGGTTATATGTGTATAATCTGCTTGTAGACTTGCATACCATTAAAACAATTGGACATGGGAAATGGCTTGAGGAAACAACTAGGGGTCATAAAAGAAGGGATGAAAAGAGAGTGGTAAAAGAGCCTGAGGTGTCTCAGGAAACAGATGTCAGAGGTGGAATTTGGGGTTAAACTAGGAGGTATCTTGTGTAATATATGGAGAACAAAGGAAAACAACGGATGTAAAAGGGTATTTAAATAAGCCAAGAACAGGAGTGAGGCAGAATTTTTCAGACAGAGATGCTACTGGGGGTCTCCTGAAAGTTCTCCTTTGTTGTCGACAATAAAGTATATTCTTCTGATATTCATAACCTCCTGACTGAGTTTGATTTAGTAAGAGAAAAACCAAGAAAACCACTACACTCGTCAGTCACTTTAGTTCATATAGAGTTAACTGTGAAATGAAAAGAGATTGAGAATAAAAGAAGGGAGGAGTGTGTGTGTGTGTGTACGTGAGCGTGCACCGAGCATGCTCCTCCTGCAGGCTGTCTGTGCTCTGTGCTAACTTCCTGTGCTATTTCTCTTCCTTAACAGACCGGCCGATTCAGAAGGGGAGAACAGCAAACTGGAGCACACACACACACATCTCGGCGCAGTGAACAGGAGAGGATAGAAGACAAGCCCTGAGAAAGGATTACAACCTCTCGAGCCATCAAAGACTTTACAGTTTGTTTTGTACTGTCATCGTAAACTTTTATGGTTCTCTTTTGACGCCCCGATTTTAATTGACAGTATCTGTCAGGTTTGTAGTTGATATATTTGGCGTGCAACTGTTTGTTTTTGTTTCCTGGTTTCTTTTTAGTATTTACGAGAAGATTGTTCAAGTGAAAGGACTTTTGTATTCCTGTTGGTCTGGTTATCTTTCCGTTTATTGTTTAAACGACCTTTTATAGCTAAGAGGAAGAAATGACTTATTAAATGGAATTTTTCCAACGGGGAAACTGACTGGAATTTTGCTGAGACCTTGACAGAAATTCTTTTGTATATCAGCACTGCGCACGTTCTTGAGGTTTGGAGCTTGGGTGAAATCTTTCCGTGGAAGAATCTGGGACGTTTCACTTGAACTCCTCTAACCCAAACTTGCTGACCTCTCTAAAAGACTCAAGTGGGAGATCATTACAAAGTTTTTCCTAGGAAATGGGATCCGAAAAGGACTCTGAATCCCCCCACTCCTCGGTTAGTGGCATTCCCAATCCCAAATGTCGTGGACCGGGCAAGAAGCAAGGCAGGATCTCTTTTCATAGCCTCTTCCATAGCAAACGTGGGCCTAGGGGGAGCAAGGCTAATGTGGGCACTCCTCTCGCTCAACAGCTGCACCAACAGCAGCAAATCCAGCAGCAGCAGCTTCTGCAGCCCCCCACGCCCACCAATGTGTCTTCAGACCCTTCAACGGCAGATCCCGCCGAGCCACTCTCCACTAGCCAGGCCTCTCTGGGAGGTCAAGAACTTCTAGAATGCCCCCTGTGCCTGGTGCGGCAACCTGCGGAGCAGCTTCCCGAGCTCCAGGGATGCAGCCATCGCTCTTGCCTGTGCTGTCTACGGCAGTATTTGCGGATCGAAATCACAGAGAGCCGAGTGCAGCTCAGCTGCCCAGAGTGCGCTGAGAGACTTGCCCCATGGCAGGTGGCCCTCATCCTGGATGATCCTAACCTGATGGAGAAGTATGAAGAGTTCCTGCTGCGCCGCTGCCTGGCGTCAGACCCTGACTGCCGATGGTGTCCCGCTCCAGACTGTGGGTAAGAATCTTTGGAAATTCTAAAAGATGCACAGTTGCCTATTTGTTTTGTTGGTTTATTTACTCTACACGATCAAAAGTTTGCAGACCCTGAGTTTGGCAGGATTCCTAGATTCCACTGAAGATGCGTCATGCTACTGCATACAGTGACGTTCTAGGGAATTGTGGGCAGTTTTAGACCGTCGGGGAGGGTCATTACTCTTCTAGTGTGACAGTTCTTCTGTGAGCAAAGTGAGGTCATTTTAGAAATGATTTACTGAGTAAATGATGTTGACCAACTTAAGTAACTTCAGTGAGGGACAGATCACCCATAAATGAAAATGACCTCATCATTTACTCCCCCTCATGTGATTTTAAACACTTTTTAAGATTCTTTCTTCTGTTAAACACACAATGTGTTTTGAAAAATGCTGATTCATGGTTGATATTGACCTACATGGTAGGAAAAACATACGATAAAAAGTCAATGGGTACCATCAACCTGCATTCCTTAAAACATCTTCTTTTGTGTCCAATAGAAGACTCATATAGGTTTGGAACAAATGAAGGGTGATCAAGAGATTTCATTTTGGATTAACAATGCCTTTAGATCTGAATCCAAAGTTTTGGTTTGATTTAAAAAAGTTGGTTGGGAAATGTAGGCATCAGACCAATTGACTATACTTAAAACAAACCAGCTTTTAAAGGGCTTTTCTAATATGTAGGCCCGATCCTAATTCTACTCCTTAGCCCTTATCCCTACCCCTCATTTTGCACCTTCATGTGAAGGGGTAAGAGTTTCCCAATTCTCTTTAGCTAAGGGCTAGGGGCTAAGGTGTAGGATTAAAGGGAAGGCTAGATACCCCTCGAAGCTTTGTCCGAAATCGCATACTTCCATATTATACAGGACGCTAAAATCAGTATGCGAAAAGTAGCATGTCCAAATTTATAGTATTTGAAAATCAGTATGGGAGAAGTACCCGAATGACCTACTACTTCCGGCGATATTCTGAAGTGCGCATCTCATGTAACCTGCGCCAGGGCTTAATTTGTGCCATAACACATCGGACCCGGCACCTCTGATCCAATCTGATTAGACACCTCATTTTTTCAATCCCCCTCCTCACCCGCTGTTCACTTTCACTTTCTTCCGCGACTCCCCAACCATCTTCACTTTCATCTACGACAACCAACCCCCGCCCTGGCTCTTAACTTACGACCCCCCTCCGGTATCCTATGTCCCACTATTTCCCCAACACCCCTCTCTTCACTTTCGTGTGCGACACCTCTACATTCTCGGCTTGAGCATGCCAAATCAGTTACCCAGATCTGTTCCGTGACCTTGCGATTTGCAAATTAAGCACTGTGCTGCGCAACTGACGTGTGACCATGACAAAATGGTGGATGTAGTATGTCGAACTCCTTTCATACTGCTCACATTCATACTGTTCAGAACGAACTTTTCTAAGGGCCGAGTAGTATGTTTAAATTCAAATGCAGTCCCTACGGAGTAGTAGGCGCTTTTGGACGCAGCTCAAATACTGATGACATATGATGACTTGTGCAGGTGCTGTAGGCCTGTCCCATATTTTAGGGGTAAATTTTGAAGCCCTTCCCCTTCACACTCTGTTTCAAGGGTCAAGGGGAAGGAGTCGGGGTACAAAAATAAAATTGGGATTGGGCGTTAGCTGTCAGTGTTTAACCCTTAACTGTCACCCCACATTTGGAATTCACGTTTAAAAATTATAGGTAATATACGCACATTATACATAGCTTCTCAAGATAACTTCAGAAAAATGTACTGAAAAACATCCCCATTACAAAACAGTTAGGGGGTTAACCATGGTCATTGTATTGCAGAAGGAGGTCTGAAAATATAGACCGATTTCAGTCCCTCATATCATGTTTAATTTCCTTTTCCCTCTGCCACAAATGATCAGATATGACTGCTGAGCTATTCTGTTCCTGATATCTGACGTGACTTCATACTTAATCATCCATTTACTTGGATGTTTGTTTCACCAAGCATTATACTTCCCTGTAATCATTGCCGGACATGATCATAAGCAATGGTCGACATATAGTGGTGCCCTGTATGCATCTGTCATGCTCCATTTGTCTCATTTGAATGCTTTGGTTCCAGCGAAATCACTAATAAAATGCAACTTGATCTGCTACTGTAACTGAACGCATGCGCTGACAGGTGAATGCCACTTTTGATGGATCGGAATTATGCTGAAAACATTAGTCTGAATTTACACAAAGAGATTTTCAGCCATAATAAATGGTTGATCTAAGTAGTGCTTATCAGAAAATGTGTTTTGGTGTCAGTTTCATGTCAAGCTACAAAAGGTAAACAAGTATAGGCTTGTTTTTAGTTAAATTAAAACTTTAACTTCAATTTTGGTGTTTAAGAAAAAAAAAAAGCCGGTCAAACTCTTAATCTCTGGCACGGAAACCAGGACACTCCCCAGAGCTACATCAGCTCATGTCCCATCTGGACCCCCTATGACTGAAATCCTAGTATGACCCCTGACTTAAGCATCCATTGAGCAATAAGGATCTCAGAGAGATGGCTACAGCTTTCAGAAATTCAATTTGCAGTATTCCCTCTTGCTTTCAGCCTGACATAGCTCTTCCCACACCCTCAAAACAGAGCTTACGCATTGCTATTCGTCAAACAGTCTCCAGTGTGTAGGTATCCAAAAATTGCTCAAACGTTGGTTGTTATTTTTTGTTCGTTTTCTGGCTTAACATGCTCTTGAATCAGAATGAAAATCAGCAATGGTCCACATTTTAGTTTTTTAAATAGGATGAAAGCTATTCTTTATTACAGAAATTAAACAAGTTTATAATGTTATGACTCCATTTCTTTGGTAATAGACTCATTTCACAACTCGCATAGAGTTAAACAGTTCAGTTTTGAATCCAATCAGCCAATCTCTGGGTCTGGTTGGATCAATTTTAGCTTAGCTTAGCAACAATCATTGAATCAGATTAAACCATTAGCATCTCAATTTAAAAAGAAATTTGACTCTTCTGTAGTTACATTGTGTATTAAGACCAATACATCCATCCTATTACGCAGCAATGTTACCTTGTACCTAGCTGGGGACTATTTTTTTAAGCATTACGTAATATCATTGCGCCTGCGTCATGGTACGGCAGCAGCCTTGATTATTACGCAGGAATGAGAGTATAGATCCTAGCCATATCAACCTAGAAAGTAGCAACTTTTAATCTTCCGTTAATCTTAGTGCTCAGTGTAAATACAGTCAGGAGTCACACTTTAAATAGGAAACACACCTGCCTGGGTGTTTTAAGTATACCTTGTAAGACGTTGATTAGCTTGTTCAGGTGTGTTTGATTAGAGTTGGGGCTAAATTCTGCAGGACACCGGCCCTCTTGGAACAAGTTTGGTGATTTATGCTAAGCTAAGCTAAAAGTGCTCCTTCATTTTTTTATTAATCTTAGTACACAGTGTAAATACAGAAGAGTCAGGCTTTTATTAGGAAAATTATCAAAACTGTTTTTGAAATTTTAGAGTGAAATGCTAATGGTCTAATCTGATTTATTGATTTATGCTAACCTAAGCTAAACATGCTCCTTCATTTTCCAATATTATTAGTGCACAATGCAAATACAGAAGATTCAAGCTTTAAGTAGAAAAATTATCAAAATACTTTTTTAAAATGTTAGAGTGATATGCTAATGGTCTAATCTGATTCAATTATTTATGCTAAGCTAAAAGTGCTCCTTCGTTTTCCATTAGTCTTAGTGCACAATTGAAATACAGAAGAGTCAAGTTTTAAATAGAAAATTTATCAAAACTCTTTTTGAAATTTTTGAGTGAGATGCTAATGGTCTAATCCGATTCAATGATTCATGCTAAGCTTAGCTAAAAGTGCCCTCTTCAGACCAGGAGATCAGCTGAATAGATTCAAATCTGGTAAAACTCAACTTTTTAACTGTAGGCGATTTGTGAAATGAGCCTATTTCCTATTTTAAAAAAACGGAGTGTTTCTTAAAATGTAACTCTTAACACAGCTCAGATCTTTGTCAGAATCTGTAGAAGTACAGGAAAGCATTTCACACTTTTTTGTGTGTGTTCTGTGTGCTTCGGCGAGTGTAGGAGGCACTTGGACTGCAATAGGGAACACTTGGGCTTGTGTGGGAAGTCTACTTTAACTGGTGTGTCATTCTGAGAGAGTGTTTTAGTTTACAACCTGTCCAAGGTTTGTCAATCATAATGCTGCGCCTGTGACCTATATTTAAGGGACATGATTCTGTCTCGGCATGTTTGACTCACTGCCACTTCCTATCAGGCCCACTGAGGGGGTTTTAGATGGACTGGGAGTTTTTCAAAGAGGCCATTAGAGGTCACACCACTGACTAATAGGGTGTTAATAGCGTCATTGAGAGTTGTAAAATGCAAGAGTGGCACTTTTTGATGCAGGATGCGAAAAGTTTCATCCAAAAATCTCATTTGTCTCTTTGAAGTCTAATTAGAAATCTAGTTAACTAGAACACATGCATTAAATACTAGAAATACACTTCATTGAACACAGGGGCGGACTGGCCATCTGGCAATTCTGGCAAATGTCAGAAGGGCCAGACCAATTTTTAAATGTGGGCCGGTCAGTTTTTTTAAATATCTATTGTTTTTAAGTGCAGACAGCTTTTATCTCTTGCTAGATGTGATATTATGATGATGATAATAATAATAATAATAATAATAATAATGATAATAATAATAATAAATGTTAAGCATTTGGCCCAATCGGCAACTGCCGCTTGGTTTCAAGATGGGTCGACCCAATCCGAGGTTACCCATACATATAGGCAAGAATGTCATATTATTTCACCATCTGTAGACTAAATAGTGAATGTGCGTGTCTGTGGGTGGGGCTGTTTCGGTGTGGTAATGTGGACTGGTGTGGCTACAGTGCCAGGGCTGAATTTTTGTCCCAGTCCGCCCCTGATTGAACATGTACACAATGACATCACCTATTTACTATATAACTGCAGATTGACTATGCTTATACACTCACCAGCCACTTTATTAGGTACACCTTACTAGTCCCAGGTTGTTTGTCGGCTGCACTTCCATGATGCAAATCTCCCATTCCACCACATCCCAAAAGTGTTCTATTGAATTGAGATCTAGTGACTGTGGAGGCCATTTGAGTACAGTGAACTCTTTGTCATGTTAAAGAAACCAGTCTGAGATGATTCACGCTTTATGACATGGTGTGTTATTCTGATTACAAATTTGCGTTAAAGTGCAGTTCGACAGATGTACCTAATAAAGTGGCCGGTGAATGTACATAATAGCTTTCACTGTAAAAAGCTCTTAGTTGTTAATTAGTTAAAGTTATTAGTAACTAATACAATTAAAGTAACTAGCAACCTTAACCTTTTTGTAAAGCTGCTTTCAAACAGTAATTATTGTGAAATGCACTATACAAATAAACTTGAATTTAGTTGAATTTAATTGAAATAATCTCAGAACTTAGATGATAGACAGCTTTTCGGTTCATTCAGTCTCAGAGCTGACAGAAAAGCTTCCCCAGTAAATTACCGGAGTATCAGTTCCAGTCAGTGGTGCTGCTTATTACCCATCAGCCCCCCAACCAGCTCCGCTTCAGCTTGACTGAAAGGCCAGAGCTGCCAATGGGAGAAAGGAACAGCTTGTTTCTCTCTCCCTCAGTGATGAGCTGCTATGGCAACTGAGATGCGCCACTGAGGTAGAGTTGCTATGGGAAACCGTGACTGGTATTTGATTAAGACAATCATTGGCTACTCGCTTGACCGTTTGCATGCCACAGCGTCTTTGCGAGGCTCAAATGAGAGTGTTGGTTTCTTTGTCTTCCGCCCTAGTGAGTGTTCAGGGATACCATAATCATGTGTAATGAGGTCGGCTTGACTCTACTTGTAGGCTGTGTGTGTGTGTAGGTAATTGGAAGCTCTTTGTGTTGGACATTTTACAGTTCTCCATTGCAGCTGAGCTGATTAATGAGGTGTCGACTCAAAGAGGAATGCTTTCTTCAGAACCCGACAAGTCGAAACATGCACCTGAAATTAAAGCAAAAGTGTCACGCATAAGTCAGTGTTGAGGAGGTTGGATTAGGTTTTAATTCGAAGGAAGAAGTCAGCTTCCTTTCACTGGAACAACTCGTCCCGGTTGTTAATATTTATATGTGGAATTTAAAAGAAACCTGTGCTATTAGCGATGCAGGTAGCCAAGAAGTGAACTGCAGTCAGCTTGTAATGTGCAAAAACCTGAACGTAAGTTAGGCCCATTGCCAATTCTATTTTTGTACCCCTACCCCTTCCCCTTGGCCCTTGAAACAGAGTGTGAATGGAAAGGGCTTTAAAGTTTACCCTTTAGAAATGGGACAGCACTACAGCACCCACACTCATCATCATATGTTATCGTGAGCTCTTGCTTCACATGAGATTGACGATCGCGGCTGCTGTAGTTATTCCAGTCGTGTTATTTTTTGGTGTTTATCATCAGGAAATCAGTGAAAGCTTAAATTATTTTATAATATAATGTGGCAAATAAGATCGTAACTGTACTGCACATTTACACTGGGGCCATATTCATCTATGTAAACACACAAAAACAACATTATTATTATAGCAGACACTGTAAAAAGCTCATTCCCAGCCACTAGATTTTTCTGACAGTGTATTCGAGTGTCATCGAGAGTCAGAATGTTGTGGGACTGCTATACAGGAGTTATTATTATGGATTATAGATCGCTAAATTTAGCTGTTTTTATTTAGCGTTTTTTTTTTAAGCATGATGATAAAACATGAATGCGGTTAAGATTGTATTAAAACATGTGTTTGTTTGTTGTAAAAATTTATAATAATGACACTAAAAACACTCATTTGTGGATCTCCTTACTTCCGGTTGAAGCCATGCTGCCGTTATAGCAGGTGTATTCTGGTAAATTTACTTAACCCTTGTGGTCCTGAAAAATCTCAGTTCAAATAGGTATATAGCCCTTCCCCTTCCGCCTTCATGCTAAAGAGAATTGAGACACTCCTACCCCCTCAAGTGAATGCACAAAACGAGGGGTAGGGGTAAGGGCTAAGGGATAGAATTGGATTTGGGCCATAGTGTCCCGATATACTCCGGAAAAAAAATGTATTCTTCAACTAACCCTTGCTGGGGATGTTTTCATCCACTCTGTGGTGATTTTGAGTCTTAATTAGGCCATAACTTTTTCTGTTTTTCATCTAGAATGATTTTTGATGACAAATCGTATTTTGAATTATATTTTGAGAAAATGCTTTGAAATAATAATAATAAAAAAAATTAACAATACACTCTGAGCAAATTTACTAGTCATTTGTTATGTTCAGGATAAAAACATCCACTGAATTAAACTGCTGTAAAAATGCATCAGATTAAAATTATTATTTTTTTTTTTGTATAAATCTTTTAATCAACCTTGATCAAAATCTTGATCAAAACTACTAAATTGCTTAGAAAATGACAGGATTTTAGCTCTTTAGTTGCCAAGTTCATAAATGATGTCACTGATTTGGTGAAAAAACACACAAAATGACGTATTTTCAATATAAAAAGTAATTGTGGACTGGATTTGACCTTTTATCACAGTCTTTCACAGACATGTGAAACATCATTGCCTTTAAACCATTGTTTTATTTATTGATTTTCATTTTGTTCTCCCTAATTTACTGTTGGTGGCTGTTTTTGCCCCATTAACTTCCATTACAACCACATTTTTTATTACAAAACTATGACACCATATAATCCTGCATTTTTGATAGTTGGTAGTTTTTGCTGTTGGGAAGAGGTAACATTTGTCATTTATACTTTTGATCATCAGTTGGAACCATTAACCCTTTAGATAAGCCTGTGCAAAAAAAGCTTAGTTCCTGGATTTTATATGGAGTTTAACAGGAAATTAAAGTGTGTGTATGTGTGGTTGTGAGAGATGACCTTTACACACTTATCTTGATGTGTCTGAGAAAATCTAAATATGCATCTCAGCTCTCAGAACTACATGGAGTAAATAAAAACAAAGACTGTGTATTTATGCACCATCAAATGTGGTTATAATGCAAGTGAATGAGGCAAAAAAGCCACCAACAGTAAATTAGAGAGAAAAATAAAATCTAACAATGCATAAAAGCCAATGTTTTTACTTTTTATATTTAAAATTTGCAGTTTTGTGTGTTTTTCCATAAATTAGTGACATAATTTGTGAATTTGCCAATTAAAGACTTAAAATGCTGTAATTTTCTAAGCAATTTAGCAGAACACTAGTTTTTTTTAGTTTTGATCAGAACACTGAGATTGATTTACAGATTTATGCAAAAAAATGTAAAAATAATATTTATCCAATGCATCTCTACAGCAGTTTAATTCATCCCTAACATAACAAAAGGATAGTACATTTAAACAGTACTCAAGAGTTAAAACATGCTGCTGTATACTGATAATAATACCACACGTCATCCGAGATACAGAGATCAACATTTTGATGCAAATATGGGATGCTTGTTTTGCTATCAATAACAATCACACACACACACACACACACACACACACACACACACACACACACACACACACACACACACACACATACACAAATGATAAAACCACAGTTAAGAAAAACCTTTATCATTGTGATGTCGAAGTATTTGTCACATGTCAAAAGATCTGCTCATTGAAGTCACACTTTTATGGTCGTTTGATTTATAAAGACTACAGATTATGTATTGCCTTCAAGTAGAAATCAGTCTACAGGCTCGCATAAAAAACAAGCAAGGTCTTGTTTTTAATAGGTTTCGATGACACATTGGTAATAAAAAGTGATTAATTCATGGAAATTCTTACATTAGGCCACTGTGAATATTTTTTTTATTCATAATATGTGTCATCATCATCATTGTGCTCATAATGTAGTTGTTCTGGGTTTGAAGTAGAATTTGGCAACCAAGCTATGTTCTTATGAAAGGGGGAAAAACTGCAACTGGAATAAGTTGGAAGCCCTCAGAGCAGGAACACACAGAGTGCAATAAATCCTCCCACAGTTTTTTCCATAATGTCTGTACCTGTTAGTGTTTTTCTTGCCTTTTAAAAGAATTTGACATTACAATGATTCTGAGCAAGGAACATACTTACATTTTAGTGTATTTGATTACTTTTCACTATGAGTATTCCTCCTAATTTTACTTTAAAGAGTCGCAGAATACAACAGCATGTGCATATGGTAATCCTACAGAACCCGCTTGCCTTACTATTACCATCTAATACCATCTCTGTAACATATACTTCAGTGTAAGAGTAGACTGCACACAGCTAGGTGTAATGATATCTCGTGTTACTTAAATTATAGATTCTCTAGAAGTGTCTGTTGACCTGTTTGCATTGTTCTCCTGCCAGTTTCGCAGTCATTGCCTCCGGATGTGCCAGTTGCCCCAGGTTGGTGTGCCGAAGAGAAGGGTGTGGTGCCGAGTTCTGTTACCACTGCAAGCAAGCGTGGCATCCTAACCAGACATGTGACTCTGCCCGCCAACAGAGAGCGCTGTCCTTGAGAACGCACAGTAACCATTCACCCAGCTACACAGCCGAGCAGGGGCACAGTGAGTATGCAATCATCAGCTTTCTATCCCATAAACTTAAGAGAGACTTACGTCAGGTCTAGAGTCCGTAATAATGATGCGGTCTTCATACCTCAGTTAGAAGGCTACTAACTAGCAACACAGATAAACCTAGCAATGACCTAGACATCAACAAGATCAAGATCTAGAAATCATCTGGATTACAATTGTTACATCTAACTAGTGGCCAAAACGTAACAAATGCATAGCATTTCCTTGGTAACCCCTGAGCAACCTACCAGAGTGTTGCATAGCATAGAAATGCCTACCATAGCATCACATAGCATAGCAGAGCATTGCATAAATCGCTTACCATAGCATCACATAGCATAGCACCTGTATTACCTTGGGAGTCAACTAGTGACACCTCTAGAAACCATCTAGAAACCATCTGGATTATAATCTTTACACTTGACTGGTGGACAAAAACATAACAAATGCAAAGCAACTCCCTCGTAACCCCTGAGCACCCTACCAAATGCAAACAATTTCCAGTATATGTTATGCTACGGACCTTTAGCATATTAGTGCTTTACTTTGTTTACTGTGCTAAGCACATATCATACAGCGTTTATTACTTTGAAACAGACGGCCACAAATTAAAGGCTAAAAATAAACTGTGAAAGCTCTACCTGTCTGGTTTATTGTGTTTAAGAGTGCCACCAGCCACTCATATAATTTGATCTGCTGCATGCTTCCCCCCCCTCGAGCACTTTCATTTTTTAAACCTCTCTGTGTTTCACTGTAGATTATTGAGGTTTCTATTTCCCTAAAGGATGCTCTCCTCCTCCTCAAGTTGTCTCCTAACCTCCTGAATTAAAGCAGGAGGAGTCTGCTAATGTCTCTCCCCGCTCTTATTCCCGCCTGACATTCAGAAAGCGCTTCCTCAGCACACATTGTTTACAGCAGATTCTGTCTGCTTGCACACATTCTAAATCCCAACCCTTTAATCCCCACTCAGCTGATGACATCAAGCCTTGTCCTCGATGCGGTGCCTACATCATCAAGATGAACGACGGCAGCTGTAACCACATGACCTGTGCTGTGTGCGGCTGTGAGTTCTGCTGGCTCTGTATGAAGGAGATTTCAGACCTGCACTACCTCAGGTACCCTCAGCCATACATCAGGGGGAATTTAACTGAATGTTTTCTTACTTCTTTTGGTATGGACTGAAAATATAAATAATACTAGCTCACATAGCATTCACATTGTCATTTTGAAGAGTGAACCTAAAGATAGAAACACAAAAATAGAGCTTTTAAATGCCAAACATTAAACACAATGCACTCTTTGTACATTGCTCAACATATATGAGTACACCCCTCACAAATCACTCATTTAAAGTAATATTTTCAACACAGGCTCATTGTGAAAACTTACCTCAGTGTACATTTATAGAGAGAGCGAATTATGTAGCCAGAGCTACGTATGGCTGTATTTCGTCTTTAAAACGAACGCTACAGGGCGGTGTGACGCCGCAGACAGATTCTGTTTCTTTTCGCGCTACCAGCTGACTGCTTACCTCTGTGTGGATGACTTTTGCGCTTTTACCAGTTTGCCCAGTACATCACCATGTATGTCAGTGGACTTGTGACGCAGAGAAGAGTTGACTGCGACGATGGGGTTTGAGTCTGATGAAGAACAGTTCCAAAAAGCTGGTAAAACTAAAACAAAAAGGCAAAAAATAAAATAAACAAGTAAATAACAGGGTAAGAATGTGGTAAGATCTGAAAATCAGGCGGCCGCGAGGAGTTTTCTCTTTTTGGACTGCTTTTGAAAATGCTGTTGGTTGGATATAAGGAAGGGGGTGATTGGGTCAATCAGTGCTTTTGAAAACACTATTGGTTGGGTTTAGGGTAGTTGGTGGGTGGGGGCTTTGGTCAGTCGGACGGTCATCAGTCGGTCAGTCTATCAGTCAGTCAGTCGACAGCGGTCTCTGGTGGATTTACGCATGAACAGCCGGTGCGAATGGCACTCATGAGAGAAATTTGAGAAATGAAAAGCGTACACAGCAGCCTCTGGTGGATTCGTGAAACAAAAACTGCAAAAAATGTACCTCCTGGGACGTATTTCGTGCTGTCCAGAAATGTATACAGAGATACATGTCAATAATAAGCCTGGGTTGAATATTTTCTTGAAAATTTACAATATTATATTTGTGCGGATACATTAGATATGTATAGCAGAAATTTATTTTTTTTTTAAACTGAAAAGCTAAATTCAAGAGAAACAAAAAAATTGTATAAAATTTTGTTGAATTTTGTATTTTGTCATTTTTTTTAATTTTTAACATGAATTTAAATGTATCATCTTTCTATCATCTAAAGATGTTTTGTGACAACAAATTTTGATAAATATATCCATTTAATAAATCTGTTTTGTTCAAATTTACCAAAATATATGACCTGTATTCACTGAGAAATTGATAAAAATATTCATTTTCAAAATGGGGTGCACTTATTCATGTTAAGCACTGTACGTGTGTACATATGATATTATTTACAGAGACTGAGAACTCGTGAAGGGCTTATAAAATGCATAAAGTATTCAAAACAAAGGCAGGAATTCCTGTATCACACACACAAACAAAGATATGCATTTTAATGCCTGAACTGCAAACAAACATAATGATAAAGAGTATATTTCAGCATTCTGTCCTTTTCAGTGTTGTATCTTGTGAATAAACATGCCAGTTCTGGATTATTTTGGTCTGTGTTGCATCCATATTTCAGACAAACTGCTCCAGAGTGCATTTGGAAGTGTGTTTTCTGTTTGAGTGTGTCGTGTTTGAATAAACTGCATCAACAGAGCAATTTAAACTAGACTGTGAATTAACTAAACCAAACCTGCCATGTGAATGCTTATTAAAAATATTAAAATGTTTTTTTTTACTCTCAGTCCATCAGGTTGTACATTCTGGGGAAAGAAGCCATGGAGTCGCAAGAAGAAGATTCTGTGGCAGCTGGGCACTTTGATTGGTGCACCGGTGGGCATCACTCTTATCGCTGGCATTGCTGTTCCTGCTATGGTTATCGGCATTCCTGTTTACATTGGGCGCAAGGTAATGCCTATATCACACTCTTCCCTACAGCGTTATAGATATTACTAGCAATTTAAGTCATTATCAGCTATCAGGTATTTAATTTCCTTATAATCCCTGGGAGTTTCCCTCCCATCAGGCGTGTGAGCAACATGCTCAACCAGCTCAACTTCAATTAATTTTGCAGTTATTATGATAAATATTTCCTGGTGTTAACCTGAATTCAAATTCACTCGGATCTCTTGTTTGGATTTTGTTGTGGACTTCAATTCATCAATTGCTACATCACTTGAATGAACAAACAAACCCTATGAGTGCGTGGATTGAGTATGAATTCTTTGTTTTGATGCATTTTCTCACAACACATTGATCAAATGTTAGGTCATTGACCGGGCGGGAGCCTTGGGCTCAAGTATCTCTGAGCTCAGGGTTCTCTCCTGGGACAGCAAGCCAAACCTGTTACGTATAAACACTAAGCATATCTAAGTGGGAACTCTTTTTTTCTATAACATGTCAATTTGGCTGTACTCGTTTTTGGACCGTTATCATAAGTTATTTTGTTAGATAAGCTCCAGATTTGGCTTCAGTACTGACTAATCTAATGTATCTGCACAAATATAATATTGTAGAGCTTCCTATTACAAATTTGAATTTAAAAGAGAGATTTGTAAGGGGTGTGCCTATATATGCTGAGCACTGCATGTGTATTTTGTTAGATAAGTATTTTATATTGTAAATTATACAGGGGACCTCTTCCTTACTGTGGATATGACAAAAAACACTTTGAATCTTTGAATCAGAATCGAGGGTATTCTTCATTGCACAGCACTCTCGTGAACATGCGCCCTAGACTGATACTGAGAAGAAAACTGTTTAATAAATAAGTCATTATTTTAGTTTTATGTGTGCACAAAAGTATTCATGCAGCTTCATAATATTCCAATTGAAGGCATAAAATCTGTTTTGACATGTTTTTGAAATTTTGAATAAATCTAAACTGTTGCTTTCAAAAAGATCTCGGTTTATATCTCAGGTTGGTTTTCCAGAGGTTTGCATCAAAATGAGGGTGAACACTTATTGACAGAATTTACATATCAGTTTAAATCTCTTTAATATCAAGTTTTAAAAAGCTCATTGATTGCTCATTGATAAAAGCTCATTGATGACAGTGCAATAACAAAGCTGCCGTTTGTCGCAGATCCACTCGCACTATGAGGGCAAGAAAACCTCTCATCACAGGAGGAATCTGGCCATCACTGGAGGTGTGGCGCTGTCGATCATCACAGCTCCAGTCATCGCTGCTGTCAGTGTGGGTGAGTATTTCTCAGGGAAATAACATATTTGCACTAGAGGCTCAGTAGGATTTTTAATAAGAACTACTTAGCAAAGATGCAATAAATGGATGCGCCATAACAGTAAAGGCATATTTGAATGATTTTCCCGAAGTGACACTGAAGATAATTCAGATTTTGCATTTTAAAATATATAATAAAAAACAAGGTTTTGTTATATAGTCTTAAAAACATTGTAAAACATGTGAGCACAGTTTATTTGTTGGGCAGATGCTTTTATTCAAAGTGATTGATGATTGATGAATGATAAAAAAGCTATTCATCTATATTAAAGGATGTGCTGTACAAAAGTCCACAGTACAATAAAGTGCTCTGGAAAAAATCTAATCTCCTTTAAAATCAAGCTTTGTATGTGCAAATTTGTCAAGCCGCTGTCATTATTTACCCTCTGGACTTTCTTTCTGCTGTTGGTGGAGTATTCTAGGCATGTTTACAAATCAAGGCTGATCTGTTTCTGTCCAGATCACCTCATTGACTTTGCTCTTAGTACTGTGCTAACAGCAAATCAATGTATAACGGATTTGCATACATTGGATAGACTACTTCCCCTTTTACGTTCTTTGTTAAGATTAAAGATTGAAGGCTTCAGTTCCTGTTCATTGTTAGGGACTCTATAGACAATCATTTCCACATTTAGCCTCAGGGGCCACCGCAGCTTCTGGTGCAGTGGAGTGTGTGAAAGTGCAGTGTGTGACAGTAAAGCACAAAATTAAAAAGGACATTGATACAGCATAATTGATATAATCAACCATCATGACTGAAATGATGTTTTGATATAATGTTAACTGCAGTTCATAATAAGATATGTCATGAATTATATTATAATCAGTTGTGAAAAACAGTTATTATACATATAACTCATAATTTGCTACTACTGTACCACAGGTGTAGTCCAAAAAGAAGTTCTTAAAGTTAAAACATAAATTTCCCTATAGAGAAATGCAGAAACCTCTGAAATGCATAAATCTCTGAGCTTGTTATTTATTGTATACATTTAAATGTTTAATAATGCAGTGAATTAATTAATTAATGCAGCATACTAAATTACTACATGATGTTGTACAGAAAATTCCACCTATCAATCGTAGCAAAAAAAAAGCGAACACAGGTCTTTATATCTATATGGTAACATATAATTCAGATTGTTATGTTTGTACATATATGTCTGTATATGTCTCTTCTTTATATGTGTGTGACAGCAAGTTTCAAAGGAAAGAAGCAGATAATAAATACGTTACACACATATGACTCACATTTAGGCTATTTCTCAATTGTATTTTTCATACTTTATAGGATTGTAGTTCTTTCCTTCAAGCCATTAAAATTACATTACTCTGGTTCACAGTTTTTGATGTTGTTAATGAGCTTATTGGTTTAGATCCTGCCCTTTAAAATGCTCTAGATGGATTAATGGCTGGCTGGATGGATGGATGGATGTTATTTGATTCAGATTTTGATAGAATGGATGGACCCTGATTTGGATGGATGGATGAATGGATGGATATATAGAATGGATGGATATATATAATGGATGGACTCTGATTTAGATGGATGGATGGATGGATGTTATTTGATTCAGATTTTGGATGGATGGATGGATGGATGGATGGATGTTATTTGATTCAGATTTTGCATAATTGGATGGATGGATGTTATTTGATTCAGATTTTGATAGATGGATGGATGGATGGATGGATGGATGGATGGATAGATATATAGAATGGATGGACTCTGATTTAGATGGATGGATGGATATATAGAATGGATGGACTCTGATTTAGATGGATGGATGGATATATAGAATGGATGGACTCTGATATGGATGGATGGATAGATATATAGAATGGATGGACTCTGATTTAGATGGATGGATGGATATATAGAATAGATGGACTCTGATTTAGATGGATGGATGGATATATAGAATGGATGGACTCTGATTTAGATAGATGGATGGATATATAGAATGGATGGACTCTGATATGGATGGATGGATAGATATATAGAATGGATGGACTCTGATTTAGATGGATGGATGGATATATAGAATAGATGGACTCTGATTTAGATGGATGGATGGATATATAGAATAGATGGACTCTGATTTAGATGGATGGATGGATATATAGAATGGATGGACTCTGATATGGATGGATGGATGGATGGATGAATGGACGGATGGAAAAATAGAATGGATGGACTCTGATTTAGATCGATGGATGGATGGATGAATATATAGGATTTATGGATATATAGAATGGATGGACTCTGATTAGGATGGATGTATGGATGGATGGATGAACGGACTGACGGACAGCCAATCAGATAAACAGACAGACAGTCGGACTTACGGATAGATAGACAGACAGACAGACAGACATATAGATGATTGATTGATTGATTGGATGGATGGACTTTGATTTTAAAGGTAACAAGATATTATTTGTTATAGTAGTGGTGTGACCCTGCTGTTCATTTATATCTAAAATGAGTTTTAGAACTACTCTGTCCTTGATGTGAATGAACCTGAACTGTTAAAATCACGAGGTTAACTATAGCTGTATATTTATGTCTGTTCCCTCCAGGCATCGGTGTGCCCATCATGCTGGCGTATGTGTATGGTGTCGTGCCCATCTCTCTGTGCCGCGGCGGGGGCTGTGGGGTCAGCCGGGGCAAAGGAAGAGGAGTTAGAATAGACTTCGATGAGGATGATGGACCTATTACAGGTATAAAAAAATAAATGTGCAATTGATTTGGGCAACTTTAACATTTAATGGATAAACCAAACCACTATTTATTACTATATACTACTATCTTCTAGTACAGTGGGTACAGAAAGCCATTAGCTAAGATCATTTTTTCCTCATTAATGTACACACAGCACCCCATGTTGACAGAAAAACTCAAATTTGTTGACATTTTTGCTGATTTATTCAAAAAGTAAAACTGAAATATCACACGGTCCTAAGTATTTGTATTTGTAAAAATAAGATAGAGTGAAAAAGTTTAAGGGGGTTTGAATACTTTACGTACCCACTGTGTACTTTCCATGAAGTACTAGTAGCTATTCACTAGTTATATATTCAGTGGCATTAATGATCTCAAAATGATAATAATAACACTTATCACATATTTTTGTGACAATATATCGCACAACAAATATTCCTTATCATGACAGGACTAAGTATTAGTATTTTTGTTTAGATACTAGTACTTAATCATTAGATAAAAGTATTTTATACATAGATTTATGTATAAAATAAGGCAGTTATAATAGACAAATATGTAGGAGATAGTTGCTATTATATGACTATATTGTATTGAATATGGAGCAATTAAGTGTTATTTCTTATTATATACTTCTACTTAATCATTAGTTCCTCTTACTTTCCCTTTTTCGGCCATTCTCTGTAAACCCTAGAGATGGTTGTGCATGAAAATCCCAGTAGATCAGCATTTTCTGAAACGCTCAAACCAGCCCGTCTGGCACTAACTACTATGTCACGTTCAAAGTCACTTAAATCACCTTTCTTCACCATTCTGATGCTTGATTTGAACTGCAGCAGGTTGTTTTGTCCATGTTTACATCCCTAAATGCATTAAGCTGCTGCCATGTGATTGGCTGATCAGAAATTAGCGTTAATGATTAGTAGGACAGGTGTACCTAATAAAGTGGCCCGTGAGTGTAGATACTAGTAATAGCGTTAAGTTATTCGGACATAGCTAGCAATAATTGTTAGTAAAATGGACTAGTATTTTAGAAATAAGCACAAGCAGCTACTATATAACTACTAGCAGAGAATGAAGAAAGATACTAGGATCTAAAAATAAGTACTAGTGAAACAGAAACTAGTTTTATTAAAAATGTGATCAAATATTATAAATATTTTATTATAAGAACACATGTTTTATTGACTGAATGTCAAAATTACTTGCCCTAGATCTATTTACATCTGTGCTGTGTACATTTTCCAATGAGGCTGGAAGGGCATCCTCTGCGTAAAACCAATGCTGGATAAGTTGGCGGTTCATTCCGCTGTGGCGACCCCAGATTAATAAAGGGACTAAGCTGAAAAGAAATTGAATGAATGTGCAGTGTACATAACTGTAAATCTAAATCTGTTTTTCTTTCTGCAGTTGCGGACGCGTGGCGAGCTCTGAAGTCCCCCAGTTTGGGCGAGAGCAGTCTGGAGGGAGCAGCCAGTGGCCTCAGCACCACCTCCCCCAGTGAGGGTCTCTCTGTTGCTCCTGGAGGTTTGGGAGACACGCCCCACTTCAACACACTGGCCGGAGGAGCTCTGGGCGCCAGGACTGGAAAATACAGCAGGTGTGTGGGCTGCCGAGAGGTCAGCAGAAGGGCGTGCTGGGTTGTTTTCTGTGCTGTGTGGTAAATATTCTAGATGTACACTGTAAATATGGGTGAGGCTCTTGTTTTGATGGAAACATGTTTATGTTTTTAGGCTGGAGGTGCAGGGGACGGAGCTGGGAAAGGAAGTTGCTGGCAGGGAGACGGGCAGCTTGGGGGCAGCCAGTGATTGTGCCAGTACGAGAGGCATGGCTGGATCAATCACATCCTCTTACACCTTACCTGACAGGTGTGGAAATTGCATCATGAGTGTAATAAAAGCTTATGTTTAACAAATAAAGGTACCCTACTGTTCAAAAGTTTAGGGTCCGTAAGGTTTCATAAGGTTTTATGCCCACCAGGGCTGCATCTTTTGATGAAAAATAGAGCAATAAACAATAATATTGTGAAAAACAAAAATTTTCTTATAATTATAATTCAATATATTTAATAATATAATTATTAATTATGTATTACTAAGTTTTTCTTTTATTGAAGGAAAATAATGTTTTCATAATGTTTTACAATACAACAATACAACAATAAACAATACTATTTCCTTCTTTCAATTTTTTTTTTGTTGTTGTTTTTTTGTGTGTTTGTTTTAGCCCAAGTCCCATCCCAAGAACTAAACATCCCGAGGCAGCTTATCATAATAATTTGGGTCAAATACAATAATTAAACAGTCTGGAGTCATGCATGTCATGACATAACAGTGATGATGGAAGAAAAAAAAACAATTACAAATAATGGGAATAAAAAATTTTTTTTTTAAATTTGCAGGACAAACTACATTTAAAGACAAAAACACTATGAAGCGGATGCAAAGATATATACAGATTTTTTAACAGCAGGGTAATTCTTTCAGATTTTTAGAATATGATAAAATAGGTTCTTAATACATATAAAACCTATCCACCGAACCCCTTGGTGTGCATTTAATATTTTCTAGTTTTAGAATAGGCATCACATCTTCAAACTAAATTATATTTGTCATTATTCAATTAATACATTCTATTTTAATATATTTTTAAAAATGAATTTTTACTCTATTGATTACTCTAGTATGCATTGTCACACCATCCTTGTGAAATCAACATAGATATATGCTGATTTGGTGCTTGAGAAACATTATAAACATTATACATTTATTATAAGGTTGAAAACTGGAAATTCAATGATACACTGTAATCTTAAAAAAAATAATAATAATTAACACCATAAAATATATTTAACAAATCCCCAAATTTTCAGTTTTTACATTATAAGTGTACATTATAGTGTTTCCTAAATTCATTTCAATATTTAATTGAAAAGGAAACAGTTACTTTTTTGTGTTATGTCATTTTAAATAGACACATTATTATTATTTTTGTGTCATAACGTAAAAATAATTATTGGTATAAGCCAAAAGTGCATCCCTAAGATAAATATAAAAGTGTAGCAGCTCTGCTAAACTTGTAGAAGTCCTTAAACTATATTCTGCATTAGAACAGAATGCATTTTGCCTGACCATTTGACCTGCTGTGTTTCAGAGAGGGCACTAACCTTGAGATCCAGGTGGACATTGAAACCAAACCGAGCCATCTGTGTCTGACCACTGAAGAGGATCTGGCTCCGCCCACTGCTGCCATGGCGCCCGGCGTGGGGGAGGAGCCTCAGGACTGCAGTTCTCGCCGGAGCAGGACGGTCATGGATTCCCCGCTGGGCCTTTCTCCAGGGATGTCACTCAGGGAGGGTCTCCGAGATGTCACCCTTGCTCAGCCCGAAAGCATCCGCAGCGACCTGGAGATGTCTGACACGCAGTCCGACGACATCGCCGAGCTCACGTCCGATGACTGTGACTCGCCTCATCCCAAAAGCTGCCACGGAGCGCCCCCGCAGGCCACCTGCAGAGCCTTGAACCCCACCGACAGCCTGCACTGTCCCGACAATGTCATCCTGTACGTGTGAGAGACTCTCGCACCATTGCACAAAGCCAACCATTTTTTCCAAGCTTCTGACGCTTTACCTGTTATTTTGCTGCTTTTTTATAATTATCCGAACACCGTAGTGGCAACTCGTGGAACTGACTGCTCATCGCTCTGCTCTCCTTGTCCCGCCTGGTTTTATTATCGGGCACGGACGGGTCCTCTACCTCTTCAGAAAATCCATACTGTTATTCATCTGACGGTGTTTACTTCTCAGTGCTGCAATGCATTGAGCGAGAGAAAAAAAGTTGAATCCGGTACTGTCGTGACCAGAAGAATTTCCAAACAAACAAACAAATAATGCTACAAAACGAAACGTCGCCAAGCACATGTATACGCGAGGGGTTTGTATATGGATGACACATCACAGTATTGTTTGTATGTTTGTTTTACATCTTTTGTTAAAAAACGACGTGGAAATTGTATGATTTAGGCTACCGCATGCATGTTGGATGCCTGCGCCGCGCTAGTAATGTTTTGGTCGCGCTGGCCTGGTTTGCACAGAAAACAAGTAGGGTCTGTCTGCAGACTGCAGGACAGAGACGTCACATGAAGGGGTCAGTTGTAGTAGAGGCGTAACTTTAGGTTGTGGAGACCCACATGTCTATGTTGTCTGCAAGATGGTGCTGTACATCAGTTATTAACGTCTACAGCTAAACCTACTCCACACCTAAACCCAGCCATCACAGTCATTAACGTCTACACCTACACCTACTCCCCACTTATACCCAACCATCACAGTTATTAATGTCTACACCTACACATTCTCCACACCTAAACCCAACCATCATAGTTATTAGAGTCTACACCTTCCCCAACCCTAAATCCAACCATCACAGTTATTAACGTTTACACCTACACATACTCCACACCGAAACCCAACCATCATCGCTTTTAACGTCTACACCTACACATACTCCACACCTAAACCCAACCATCATAGTTATTAGAGTCTACACCTTCCCCAACCCTAAATCCAACCATCACAGTTATTAACGTCTACACCTACACATACTCCACACCTAAACCCAACCATCACAGTTATTAACGTCTACACCTTCCCCAACCCTAAATCCAACCATCACAGTTATTAACGTCTACACCTACACATACTCCACACCTAAACCCAACCATCATAGTTATTAGAGTCTACACCTTCCCCAACCCTAAATCCAACCATCACAGTTATTAACGTCTACACCTTCCCCAACCCTAAATCCAACCATCACAGTTATTAACGTCTACACCTACACATACTCCACACCTAAAGCTAACCATCATCGTTTTTAACGTCTACACCTTCCCCAACCCTAATCCCAACCATCATCATTATTAACGTCTACGCCTACACATACTCCACACCTAAACCCAACCATCATCGTTTTTAACGTCTACACCTTCCCCAACCCTAAATCCAACCATCATCGTTTTTAACGTCTACACCTTCCCCAAACTTAAACCCAACCATCATTGTTATTAACGTCTACACCTTCCCCAACCCTAAATCCAACAGTCATAGTTATTATCGTCTACACATACTCCACACCTAAACCCAACCATCATAGTTATTAGTCTACACCCTCCCAACCCTAAATCCAACCATCACAGTTATTAACGTCTACACCTACACATATTCCACACCTAAAGCCAACCATCATTGTTATTAACGTCTACAACACCTTCCCCAACCCTAATCCCAACCATCATCATTTTTAACATCTACACCTTCCTCAATTCTAAACCCAACCTTCATCGTTGTCAACGTCTACACTTACACATACTTCACACCTAAACCCAACCATCATCATTCATAACATCTACACCTCCCCCAACCCTTAACCCAACCATCACAGTTATTTGCGTTTACACTTTCCCCAACCCTGAACCCAACCATCAGTTATTAATGTCTACACCTTCCCCAACCCTGAACCCAACCATCACAGTTATTAACGTACATCTGTGAGTTGCAGAGGCTTTCATGCTTGACGTGCTCGCCATTGTACTGTTATTTGCAACCACAGGGGGCGACACCGAGTAGACGAACTGTCATGACAAAACAGATAAAGTCAGCGAATTGCATGGTGGGGTTACTAAATAAATGAATATAATAATAAATCAAATGAGTAGGTTGTGGATAAACTTGGTGAAAACTCATCAAAACATTTGCTGAAAATGTTCTCTGGTGAGTTTTTCTGTCATCTTTCCAACAACATCTCATTGTGACTTCTCGCATTGTTTAATGATATCTCGATAACTGCAAGTTACACCTCTCTAACTTACTACAAGTGACCCCCCTTCATGTTACGCCGCAGACAGATACACTTGCAGAAAACACACACTTCAGATCAGTATGAGGGCTTTTCACACGGACTTTATCATTCAAAATGTAGAGTTTTACCACAGGCTAATGAAACTGGACGGGTATTCGAGAAGCAGGGTTTGTTCTAGCACAACTTTTTGCACTGTTAACCCTGCATTACAGTATAAAACGTGTCGAATTTACAGCTAGATAGCAAACAACAGTCATTCACATGCTTTACAGCAGTGTTTCCCAACCCTGTTCCTGAAGGCACACCAACAGTACACATTTTCAACCTCTCCATAATCAAAAACCCCTGAATGAACTCATCAGAACATAAGAAGAGACTCCAAAACCTGAAGTTAATTTACTGTCGATGTGCCTCCAGGAACAGGGTTGGGAAACAGTGCTTTAGGGAGTCACAAAATAACTATAAACCAATAATCAATTCAGTGTTCACAAGTTCAAGAGAAAAGCATCAGCTGAAGTGTAGAAAAGACTGTTTCATCACTCTTACCTTTTGTAGTTCATTCAAGTCCATTCAGGAAAAACCTCTCGGATCACGTGCTGCATTCGTCCAATCACTGACACAGCAAATATGCAAATAAGTGTGTTAACCCAGGTGTGAATATCCAGGATTAAGTGTTAACCCCAGATAAACTACCCACTAGAGATAAATTCAGTTGCGTCACGTAGGGCTTAATCCTGTTCTGCTCACACAAGGTACAGTAACTTACAGGAGTGACAACCATATTTAGGCAGCACAGTGGCTCAGTGATCAGGTTGCTGGTTTGAATCCCGTCTGGGCCAGTTGGCGTTTCTGTGTGGAGTTTGCATGTTCTCCCCGTGGGTTTCCTAAGGTTGCTCCGGTTTCCTCCACAAGTCCAAAGACATGCACTATAGGTAAATTGAATGAACTAAATTGGCCGTAGTGTATGAGTGGGTGTGTGATTGTGAGAGTGTTTGGGTGTTTTCCAGTACTGGGTTGCGGCTGTTTGGCATCTGCTGCGTAAAACATATGCTGGAACAGTTGGCGGTTCATTCTGCTGTGGCGACCCCAGATAAATAAGGGACTAAGTCGAGGGAAAATGAATGAATAAATGAACAACCAAACTGACTGCAGTACAGAACAAACAAGCCCAACTACTGGCTCAAAGGTTTAAATGATATTTTAACCCAACAGCTGGGTTTTCTCATTAAAACATCCCTTCATTTTTAGAATGTAGTGTTGCCAGATCTTGTGACAAATAATAAAAACAGCATTTAAGGACAAGGCCATAACAAACATAATAAGCTCATAATAAACCCAAACACTTAAACTACAAACAAATAAGCTATATACTAAAATGTTGCAACCTGCAGCTGTCTACTTTATTAAATCCAGAAGCTGGATCAGTTAAATTAACCCAAAATGAATATTTATCCACCCTCAAATGGCTTTAAACCTTTACGAGTTTCCTCTGTTGAACACAAAAGGAATCATTCTGAAGAAAGCTGAAAACCTGTAACCATTGACACCCATAGTAGAAAAACAGATATATGGAAGTTAATGGTTACAGGTTTTCAGCTTTCCTCAAAATATCTTCTTTAGTATTCAACAGAAGAAAGTCGATACACTTCGATAGGTTTGGAACAAGTTAAGGGTGAGTATATGATGACAGAGTTGTCATTTTTGGGTGAACTATCCCTTTAAGCTCAAAGACACTTTATAAGCATTCTTATTTTAAGTGGACATGGCAACCTTTCGGGAGCGCACTTGAAGCAGCCTTCCAAACATTTATTTAGCTCAAATCTACAACTCTCAAGTTATTATATTAGGTCTCTGTTATATCACTATCAGAATATAAATCATGCAAGAAGCCAAAAGACTGCTCTGTTCCAGTCATCGCAATTCATAAGGACATTTTTAACCTTTAAACTTGGTTGTCACTCCTGAAATTTAAGGGATAGTTTACCCAAAAATTAAGGTTCTGTCATCATTTACGCACCCTTAACTTGTTGAAGTTGTTCCAAATATTTCTGAGTTGTTTCCCAAAAGAAGCTATTTTGAAGATTGTTGGAAACCTGTAACTGTTGACTTCCATTGTAAGAAAAACAGATACTATGGAAGTCAATGGTTACAGGTTTCCAACATTCTTCAAAATAGCTTCTTTTGTGTTCAACAGAAGAAAAACAGATATGTTTGGAACAAGTCAAGGGTCAGTAAATGATGACAGAATAGTCATATATGGGTGAACTGTGCCTTTAAGCTCAAAGACACATTTTAAGCATCCTTATTTTAAGTCAGGGGCGTCCAAACTCGGTCCTGGATGGCCGGTGTCCTGCATATTTTAGTTCTAACCCCAATCAAACACCTGAACCAGCTAATCAAGCTCTTTTTTAGGTATACTAGAATCTCGCAAGCAACTGTGTTGAAGGAAGTTGGAGCTAAACTTTGCATGACACCGGCCCTCCAGGACCAAGTTTGTACACTCCTGTTTTAAGTGGACATGGCAACCTTTCAAAAGCACACTATTGAATCAGCCTTCAAAACACTCATTTAGCTCAAATCTACAAGTTATGTTAAGTTGATCTTATATCACTATCAAAGATAAAAAATATATAAATCATCCAAGAAGCCAAAAGACTGCTCTGTGCCAGACATCGCAAATCATAACGACATTTTCACCCATTAAATTTGGTTGTCCCTCATAAAATTTAAAGTAAAATTTCACCCAAAAGTGACTATTTACTCACCCTTGAGTTATTTCAAACCTGTTTAAGTTTTTTCCAAAAAGAAGATATTTTGAAGAATGTTGGAAACCTGTAACCATTCACTTCCATAGTCATTTGTGTTCCTACTATGAATGTCAATAGTTACCGGTTTCCAACAATCTTCAGAATATTTTTCGTTGTGTTCAGCAGACAAAAGAAACTCTTTATAATCATCAGTAAATGACGATTAACGCATTCCGTAAGTGTGAAAAGCCCTACAGAGTGAGGTCAGTGCAATGGGAGACTGATGGGACCTTCACTAGCAGACAGTTTGACTTGAATCACTGACTGCCTGCCTTACAGACACAGCACATGCACTCAGATCCCTTACACTGTCTGTGACTCACTGACAACACTGTTTGTGCCCTCTTGAGCTGAGAAATGAGAGATGTACGTATGGATGTATGTGTGGATGTTTACCAGTGTTGATTTTATTGCTGGCTATTAAACTGTATAATAGTATCGAGGATGGAACTGCCATTCACATGCATGTCTGTTGTTGTTATTGTTATGTTATTATGATTTTTGGCCTACTTTTTTTCTCTTTCTTAAGCACACAGAATCATTTTTGGGTTTGTTTTGCGCAGTTGTAATTTTATTTGGACCCGCTGGATGGATGTTTTGATTGGATGGATGAGCACTCCTGCACTTTATCCCTCTATTTATCATTGTAGGCTTATATTTATGCACTCCCGTCCTTTTTTCTTTGACATTCAGCTTCTCTGGGAATTTTGCTTATTTAATTTTGGTTGTAATGAATTATTGACATTTTTTGGTTTTGCATTCTTAACATGCTCTGCTTTCTGAAATTCATTATAATATTCGGCTGCAGAGAGAAATTTCAGTTTTTACATGTAATGATGGATTAGCTTTGTCTTGTAATCACACAAAAAAAGAGACTTTTGGTCACATCATTTGCTT